TACCATTTCTTGTCACTCAGTTTTCCCCAACTGCCACCTACTCCACCTGATCTGGTTCTCTTTAGGAACAGGGACCACCTCTAACTCGTCTTTATATTTATAGAGGCCAGCCTGGCGTCTGGCAGGTAGTAAGTGCTCAATAAATGTTTTCTGAATGACTGAAGCCAAAGTGACTGCCTGCCCCCTCTCCTGGCCCTGGGGAGCCTGTCACGAGGAGAGATCATCGGCCTCACTAACTGGGACTACAGGTGACAAAGGGATGCCTAGGAATCCCTCCAGGCACCTGGGCTCTCAAGACTCTGCCGGCTCTCAGGGGTGGGTCAAGCCAGTTGCCTGATGGGGACCCCTGCCAGGGGCCAGTAACCTTCACCCAGCCCAGAGAAATCCCCAGCAGGGAGCTGGGCCAGGTGGTGGCAGGCTGGCTGCCAAGGAACAAAGTTGGCTTGAGTACCCTTGTGCTCAGCATCCCAGGCTGACGCTGACCACAGGTGGAGGTGAAGGGTCTGGGGGCTCCCGGTTCCCAAGGCCCAGCTGCCTAACTCTGTTCCTGCCTGCTCTTCCCCCAACTCTCCAAAATAGCCCAAGTTTATTTTATCCCTTCCCCCACTTTACACCCCACCCCAAACGGAGACAAACAGAAACACCTCATCATCCAGAGACAAGATGTTCAGAGACAAATGTTGGTCTGTTCAGAGCAAGAGAGGAAAACAGAAAACAAACCCAGGAGGAGACTGGGAGGCTGCCTCAGGGCAGGGGTTGGGGGAGGCCTGCAGCCCTTGGCCTAACATTGCTCCCGTTCCCAGGAAGGCGGTAGAGGGGCTGCCCTGGGGCATGTTGGCACTGCCCCCCTAAGGGTGCTGTGGAAGCTGGGGCACCCAGTCTCCTGGGCTCAGGTTCCTGGCCCTTCCTCACCCAGAGGGCATGGGACTGCGAGTCCTGGCCCTCACTCAGAAGCCTGTCATGCCCACCGACTGGCTGGTCCCAGGCAACACCCAGGCCAGAGAAGCTGGGGCCTTCAGACGGGGTGTGAGCAGGAAGCGAGCTCTGCATGTCCTTCCGAGAAGGCCTCGGTTTCATTCCTCTGCCTGGGCCACGGAACACCTAGTCTCTTCTCTTAACCAAGCCCCCTTTCTTTTTGTCCTATAAAAAGCCCCACAGTGAGGGAAAGAAAGAAAAAGCAAGCTCAGGTGTGAGCAATTCTAGGGAGCAAGGAGACGGGGGCTTTAGTTTGGAGGGAGAAGTGAAGGAAGGGATGGGAGGAGAGCAGAAGAGCCCTCCCCTCCCGAAGGGCCCTCCTGAAGTCAGAGGCCCTCTCCAAGCAGAAGCCCCAGGAGGCGACCGAAGCAGGGGACAAGCACAGACGTGGATGCACAAGATCTGGGCTTGGATCCTAGTTCTACCACCAGGTATGCGACGTTGAACAAGCCCCTCTGGGTCTCCGTTTCCTTCTCTGTAAGCTGAGGTTAATAATCCCTGCCTCACATGGGTCAGATAAGGTATTAGAAAAAAGTGCAGGTGTGCCAGCACCTGACAACTGGCACAGTGGATGCCCAAGCAGTGTGAAACCCCAGCTGCAGCTGCCTCTTGGGGCAGTGGGATCCTGTGGGGTCACCTCCTCTACTCAGAGGGGAAACGCCATGAGAAAACTCAATCTAGGTACTGATTTAGCCAAAGGAGAGCTATCATCCTTAATAGGGCCGATAACTGGACTAAAGCCAGCTCAGCCCCTGGGACCTCTGGAGACTGGGGATGAGGAAGGTGAGTGTCCCAGGGTCCCATTCATCAGGCCTCCTGTCTGCCCTCAGAAAAGGAGGAAGGCCTGATCCTAGAGCTCCGGTTGCTGCCCAAACCCTGACTGGTCCGCCTCAGTCTGGGAAGCCACCCTCGCCATTGCTGAGCCCTCCCTCTGCCTGGGACCAAGGGCAGAGGGGGACAGGACCAGCCTGCCTCCTGTGCTTGCTCCCAGGTCAGGCCATGGGAACAGAACCACAGCAGCAGCTGTCCATGGACCCAGCCGCTGTGAAAGGAGCAGGGTGAGCACCCAGGCTGGAGCCTGCCTGAACAGGAATGGCTCTGCGGGCCAGGCCGGTAGCTAGGCAACAGGCTCCCATAATCAGCTCAATTCACTTTCCGTTTGTATCTGTTTTGTTCCTGTCATAACGCACTACTCAAATGACCAGCTGCTGTATGCAAAGAGATGCTCTGCCCTTACTGGCCCTCGGTGAGCGCCCCAAGCCCACCGCAGTGCTGCAGGCCCCTCCCTCTTCCTCCAGGGAGGAAGCCGAGGGAGGGAAGGTATGTGCACAGACCCAGGGGAGAGCACAGGGGCAGGGGGTATTATTGGCCTGGCGTAAACAGAGCAGGGCAGGCATACCCCCAGAACCCAGCACCTCAGACCCTCAGGCCTGGAGGCATAACCGAGTAAGTGTCCCTTCTGATGTCCCCAACTGCCCCTGGTTTTCTGATGTCATCCACAGGAGGTACAAAACCTCAGGCCACCTCCCAGACCAGAGTAACGAACGATCCACCTCAAAAAACAGCCGCCTTCAGTGGCAAGAACATGTTATCACCCGAGGAGCAAGGGCTGGGTAGTGAGGGAGCCCGGGCTTTGAGTCACAGCCCACCGCTCTCTAGCTGTGTGACCTCAGGCAAGTTGTTTACCCTCTCACAGCCTCAGTCTATTAAATGGCGATAATACCTCCGCTGTAAGTTTACTGGGAGGATTAGAGATTAACGCAAAGTACCTGCACGGTGTGCTCAATAAATGGCGGTTGTTTATCAATTAATTTTTTAAACTTTTGTATTCTCCCTTGTATGTCCCAGGAACAGCTGAAGGCTTGCCTTTGCCTGTGCCTCTCAGGAGGCAAGACCCTTCTGGCATGAGTGCCACCAAAGCTCCATATGGCTGTGCACACCAGTATTAACAACCAGACGGCAGGATACTTGGGGTGATTTGCCGGCTCTATTATTTATTAGTTAAGGATCTGTGACGACACTTAACACCCCTGAATCCTGGTTTCTTCGTTAAGTGGGAAGAATTTACCCAACCCAGCCCCAAACTTCTGACCTCAACTGGATTGCCCTGGCTGCTGTGATTCTACATCCAAAGGGCCAAGTATCTTGGGCTCCTGGAGGATTTCCAGGGGCTAACCAGGCTCTGAGCTTACTCAGAGAGCCCCGGCTGGACCACTCTGTGGTGAGTTGAGGAGAAAAGAAACTCACTGATGGTACAGCCCCTTGGAATCAAAGGGGGAGGAACCTGAGCAGATGAAAAGTCCTCAGAGGCCCCAGAATGCCCGGAAATAGGGCCCCTAACCACCTCATCTCATTCCTGCCTCCCTGGCTTGCCCCCTTTGCCCCACTCCATCAAGCTAAATCTGCCTTCTCCTCCCCCACCCCCAACTTCGAAAGAGCCTGAAGGATCTGCACTTGACTCTGCCCTCCTGCACACGTCTCTGCCCTCCTGCACACAGCCAAGAGCGAACACTTAGCAGGGTTAGAGGACTGCATGAGAAGCCCATGGGACTCACAGCCAGCCAGGGCAAACAGAAGCAGCACCCTAGCTTTGCTCTCAGTCCCAGAAAAAGGTCCCTACCTTCCAGTGGCTGCCCTGGGATGGTACGCCTCAGCCACTGAGCCCTCTGCTCCTCCCTCCTCTTCCACGCAGGAAATGCATGTGCCCTGGTAGAGCTTTTATGCCAGCCTAGCCCCTCCCTGCAGCCCCGTTTCCCAATCTCCTGCCCTCCCCTGGGGGAGTGTAACTTTTTCTTCCATGACTGGGTTGAGGCCCAGCACAGGAGGTGCTGGGGAGTGCGGCAGGGCTCTGAGACTCACAAACATGACGACTTGGGATGCCAGAGGAAACTACCAGCTTCCACAGCAGGGGGCAGTCCCCAGAACCAACACATCACGCAGCTCTTTCCTGTCTCCCAGACAGACCCCAGCCAGGCTTCAGGCTGCCATCCATGAGATCAGACATCAACCCCCAGGGGTCTCTTTTTTAAAGAATCTAAAGCCATCCTTCATGGGTGTTTTTTTCTTTTTAGATGCCCAAGCCTACCTTCCCCTCTACCCGCTTCCACCTAAGCGGGTTAGAGGAAACTGGATTGACTTGGAGAGGGGATGGTGGGAAGGGACTAGATCTTGCCTAAATCAACCTACACTTCTCTCCCCTGCCCCCATCCCCATCACCTATTTCAAGCAGTAACCTGAACCAGGGCTTTCTGGGAAGCCAGTTTGTGCTGCAGTAGAAAGAAAGAAGCGGCAACAGATCTGGGATCATCACCAGGCAGCCTGTGGCTGGCCACTGGCTGCGGGAGCCCCAAGGGCCCGCAACATTAGGCTCTTCCTGTCTGACTCTCCCCTCATCCCAGCAGAGGCCAGGATAACCCAGGTGTCCAGGAAGCCTCAGGGGCGTGGCGTGGGGCAGGCATCTTGACTTATCTTCCTGGGATAAAGAAGGGCTCTCCCAAACCTGGATGAGAGGCCTGGGTTCTGGTCCCAGTTCTGCCTGTTACGGCTGAAGAGGCTGAAACCCGTGTCCCCTTCTCTAGAACTCATAGTTCCCAGCACACTGAGCTGCTGGGGGGATTTCAATGAGATGGGACACAAGGAACTGCCACAGTAGCCACTTACACTCTAGTTTTTTCCCCCAAATCCTGCCTGACTCCAGCACAAGGCCCCACTCCAGTTCTCCAGGACTCTGTCCTTCAGAGGAATTGGGGGTAGATGTAGAGAGGCCACCTGTGCAGGAAGAAGGGGGTGGAAGAGCTCAGCTAAGAGCACCCCACTCGCTGGGAGGGGGATGCCTTAAAGCAGGAGCTGGGATTAGGTCCAAGAAGTAAGCCAGGAGTGCAAAAGTGTGCAATCTCCTGATGAAGCATTGGGGGCGAGGACGATTCCCCTGGGGGCCCATGGAAAGCAGGGGAATTTGGGAGAGAGGCGGTGATAAAAGTCGGTCAGTCTCGGTCCGAGAGAAGACCCAGGCTCCTGCCACTCACCCTGGCCGCCCGGGAGGAGTAGGGATCCTCGAAGAGCGCCCACATGCGGGGCTGCCAGCCGCGGCAGCCTCCGGACCCGGCGCCGGGGCCCGCACCTCCCTCGTGGGGCCCCAGGCGCTGCAGGGCCAGCTCCCGCTCATCGTCGCCAGCCTCGTCGCCGGGCCCCGCGCCCCCGCCGCCTCCGTCTGGGCTCTCGAAGATGTCGAGCGCCTCCTCGGCGTCGCGGTGCTGCCGGTAGGTCATCCAGCAGCAGGGCTCCACGTCGGTCTCGTCGATGCCCCAGAAGGTGAGCTCCTCCTCAAACAGAGGCCCGCACACGTCGGCGGGGCAGTGCAGCTTGCCCGTGCGGTAGTAGTTGAGCACGTAAGCAAAGACGCCCGGGTGCCGGTCGAAGAAGAACTCGCAGCCACCGCCGCCGCTGCTGCCTGCACCACCGCCATCGGACGCGGGCCGGCCTCCGCCGTCGGGATCGGCCAGCCAGGCGAGGCGGGTGCCCGGTAGGGTGCGCAGGGTGCTGCGGTAGGTCTCATGTCGCGTGCCGCCCACGTTGATGATGATCTTCTCCGACGCCTCGCCCTTGGCCATCTCCTCCTTCAGACATGTTTTGGACGGAGGCTTGTTCCCCGACTTGCGCCCGCGGTAGGAGGAGACACACACCGAGCTGATCATAAGAAGCGCTGCGGGGCTTCGGCTTGGGGCGGCCGCTGCCCTCCAAACACCCTTCCAGAGGAGGCAGCGTCAGACGGGGGAGGGGGAAGAGACCAGGAGGAGGCAGGAGGCCGCGGCGGGCCCCTCTGCGGCGTGGCCCTGCCCCTGCCTCCCCCCCGGGGCGCGGAGCGGGAGGAGTTGGATTTCTCGCGGGCACAGGTGGTTGCGGTTTGGGCTGGCAGCGCCGGGGAGGGAGGCGGGAGGGAGGCAGGAGGGGAAAAGGAGAGCCGAGGACCCAAGCGAGGCGCCCGGGAGTCAGGGCTAGCACACACACACTTCCCCCGCTAGCACTGGACACCCAGACGCTCGGGGCCCGGGACACACCCCCTGCACCCCCCAACAGACGGGGAAGCGCACTGTCCAGGCGCACTGCGCGCGCTCACACTCACACGGGCCACCCTCTGGCTCCCAGTCCGCGCCGAGAGACCCGGGAGCTGCGGCGGCGGCGGCGGCGGAAGCAACGCAGCAGCAACAAGTCCTCCAAGCGGCTGCCGGGGCTGGGCCGGCGCTCTCACGGCAGCCGGAGCTCCGCGGGCCCGGGCTGCGTGCGGTCAACACAAGGCGGCGGCGGCGGCATGTGGCCTCTTCCCCCCATTCATAAATCCAGCGCAGGGCACGGATGGCGGGCGGGGCGGAGCGGAACGCGGCGTTCGGGCGGGCGGGTGCTGCGCAGAGCGAGGCGGCACAAGGAAAACAAGCGCGCCCGCAGGAGCGAGCCTCTGGTCCTGCGTCCGCGGCTCGACAGCGGCGGGGAGCTGCGCTGCGCTGGGCGCTGCGCTGCGGGGGCCGTGCCGGGGCGGGGGGGCCTCGGACGGGGCGTCCTGCGCGGCGCCGAGCTTGGGGGCGGGGCAGCTCTCGGGAGCAGGGCTCTGGGCACTGCGAAGGAGTCTCCCGGGCGGTGGCCGAGCGGCCAAGGACACCTGCAGGCTTCCTGGGCTGCGACAAGCGGGAGCCTCAGCGCAGCGCCCCGGCGCCTGGCTCCTGCGATCTGGCGGGGCTGAGAGCCACGCCATCCACGCGTCTACCCATCTCCGGGAGGGGCGCTGGCCTTGGCCCGCAGCAGGGGGCGGGCGAGAGGTGGCCTAGGGTCGGGGGTTGCCTCCACGCCGGTGGGCTGCGGCTCTGGGTGCTCTCCGTCTCCCTCCGGCGTTGGTAGCGGACGCCGCTCTCTGCTGGCGCCTTTTCCTCCCGGCGCCGCCTCGCCCGGGTGCGCCCTCCGCGGAGCGGAGTGGGCGGGGCGCGGCGTGGGGCCGACCCGGCTCGCTGCAGGGCCCCGGCGGCCGAGCTCTGCCTTCCTCCGCGGAGCCGAGCGGAGCCAAGCTAAGCCAGGCGCGTAACCCCCTCGCCGCCTGCACGCCTTGCGCGCCTCCGCCGCCGTCCCCCCCCGCCCCCTTCGGCCCGGCTCCCCGCCTCCCCCGAGCCCAGAGCTCCTCCCACTGCAGTCCTGCTGCCACCTAAACGCTCTCGACCCCTGACCTCTGACCTGCTCCCGCCCCTTCTGGCAGCTCCTGTTGCCTCGTCCCCACCAAGCTGATCGCTTTGTTGCCGGTTAATTGTGGCTGACTGGAGGCCGGGGAAGAAAGAGCGGAGAGACAGTGTCGCTAGGAGGAGGCTGCCCCCTCCTCCCCCAGACACTGTGTTAGGGCCTCCTGACGACTCCGCCCCCAACTGGGTCCAAGATCCCCGTGGTCTCTATGCTTGCGGCCTCTGTCACAGTCACCGAAGCCCCCGCGGTGGAATAAGGGACCCGGCGGCCTTGGGCAGAGAAGCATCTCCTGGTTTAGGCGGGCGGAAGGAAACCGTAGCCTTGGCGCTGTTATGGGTGTGGGGCAGGTTGCCCTGAAAGATCATTAGGTTAAAGCCGTGGCTTATTATCCTAGGGAGCAACCTCCTGGTTCTGCTGTTTCACTCATTGCAAGCTGACTTTGCCCTTTTCCTGTCTCATCTCCCCTCTCTGACCCTGAGCTCTTCCAGTCCGGACTGCTTTTTCACCTTAATAGCTCCCACAGTGCCTGCCTCTGAGAACCTGTTTGCTAAGTGATTGAGAAGCTGCTGTACCCAAAACATTAGGCACTAGCCCGACTTGACTGGCCTCATCCCAAGAGCAATGTCCAGATTCATTTTTTTTGGTTTGTTTTTAAGTCCAGACCTCTTCCACATCTTTAAATTAATCCTCTTTGTTTTTAATTTAAAAAGAAATTTTTTTTTTACAGTTTCAGGCAAGCCCCCATGTCTGTCCAGATCACCGTAAGAAGGATTTTAAAGCAGAAATGCAAGGTGATTAACACACCTTCCCTGGACACCTGTGCATCACCTGTTTTCCAGCTCAGGCAGTACCTGGCTATACTGGGAGAAACAAGACAGGGGCTTGGGGGTGCTCTGAAGAGAGGTTAGAATAGAAGCCCAGTACAAATACGGGGAATTCTTATAAGCAAAATCTTGTCATTAATGAAGTCAGAAAACCAAAATGATGATGACGATCTGTGACCTGTACTAACATGCAGAAGAGGTAAATACCATCCTGACCTGTAGTCAGAAACGCTCATTTGCTGGCACTCACTTTGTGTCCAGTCTCCCTACCCCTTGGGCCTGATGTCTGCATTTCAGAGTTTAGCTGGCTTTGAGTTTGCTGCAGTGGAAAACAAATCTCCCACTTGTGACTGGGGAGAGAAGACCCAGGACTGGCCAGAAGCTGGAGTGAGGAAGGAAGAACCACAGCACGGTTATTAAAGAATTGACTGCAATGAATAGCTTTAAAGCCCTATCTGGTTGTGTCCTGGCAAACTCCCTTGGGGTCTCTCCCCCACTTTCCATTCTTCAGGCTGGCTGAACTCAGTCATTCCAAGAAAAGGGAGAGGTTGGTGGGGGTGGGTGGGAGAAGTGAAAAATACCATCCCGGCATCCCTCTCCTAAGTCATCTGTTCATTCAGTAAATATTTCTTGAGTACCTACTATGTGCCAGAAGCTGTTCCAGGCCCCGAAAGTCAACAAACAAAACAGAGCCCCTCCAGCCTTGCCCTGGTAAATCTCCACCCTCTTGGTTCTTTCCCTCTGTGCTGTTTGTAGATGGTGAGAAGCATGTGGGGAGATAAGCGGAGGGAGAAAACTGCCAGAGAAAAAGGAGGCCTGGACAGGAGGTCAGAAAGCTGGGGTCGGAGCAGGGGAACCCAGGAAGAGTCACTGAAAACAGAGGGCGCAGCCTGGGAGAGGCAGCGGGGTGAAAGTGCACTGGGTGGGAGGGCCCCTGACTCAGCACACTGCCCGGCTCCTGGAGAAGGGAACTCAGCCAGGCCAGAGGCCTCCAGAGAAGACCTCACCACTTGCTGAAGGTTTTATCCTAGAGCTCTGGGCTAACCTGTTACCTGGGCCTCTGTGGAATTTTCTGGAGGATTCAGCATGCCGCAGCTGGCCTCATAGGGCTTGTCTCCATCAATTCTGTATGTATGAGGTCCTGCTATTTCCGAAAAGCTCAGAACCCAGGAAGGAGAGAGCCCCCCCGCCCCACCAGACTGCCATGTGACAACCTACTGTGGATGCGTGGGTGCTGCCCCCTGGTGGCGCTAGGAGGCCCTGCTCCAGACCTCACTGGGCTGCCGTCTTGGGAGAAAATGGGGCTGATAGGCTTCCGGTCAATTCCAGGACCTCAGGTGTCTTTCCCATCTGGGACTTGGCCTGATCTCTCCCTTTTCCTTTCCTCCAAGATCTTGATGACCAACAGGCTTAAGCAAGACCACGAAGCAGTCACAGCTGGAAATTCCGAATTCCACAAACTTCTCTCCCTTTTCTCCACTTTCCTCCTCTGGATGCCCAGGTTTCTTCCAGCTGTCTGGAAAGAACATCCATCTGGGAGCCAGTTCATGCTAAAGTGTCAGTCACAGTGGGTTTTCCTCAACAGGAATAAAGGTATAGCAAAGAAAAGGAAGAGAGCAATGTCTGATCCCAGAGTGGAACGGATGGGGGCTCTTTTAAGCACCTGTAGCCTTTCTAGAGCCCCCTCATATGAGGCCCTTGCTCTCTGAGAGCTGAGGCTGATCTGGCCAGTGGGAGGCTTGAGAGCCTGACATCAAAGCCACTTACCCTTCCTGTTTGCCCACTGGGAGCTTGGTGTGGGGCTCAGCCACTTTGAGGTGACAGAAGCTAGCCAATTTCCTCTCCATTTTTTTTCTGCGGACTCTGCTTGTTTTGAGGGGCTCCAGGCCTAGGAGCAGGCCCGATGGCTGCCAAGGCAAAGTCCTAGCCATTGATACTCACACCTCCCCCTTTTGGTATTCCAGCTCCTGCCAAGAACCAAACCCTCTTCCCTGAGGTCCAGGTCAAGGAGCCAGCATCCTTTCCCAGCCTTCCCTGCTTCCCAGACTGGTTAATTGAATTGCTTTATCAGTCATCATCATTGGGGCAGAGGGTGATAGAGCTTTTCCCCTCATGGAGGGAGAGAAGGGAGGGTGAGAGGAGGCTGAAACCTCCCGTGTGCTTATCACTTCACTTTATCCTACCTCCCACCCCCACCCCCAGGCAGCCTGTGGAGACTTGCAGGCTCCAAATCAAATGCTGAGAGCCTTCCCAGGAGGGGTCTGGGAAGAACCCAGACACAGAGGACAGCCCACGGGGCCTTGCAGAGGTCAGCTAGAAGGGCTCGGCACAAGGTACAAAGGTAGGGCTGAGTTGCTGTGAAAATCCTAGTGAAGGTGTATTTGGGGCTCTTGGGGAACACCAGAGATGGCCTTTGACGGCCCAGCTCTTAAAGGGAAAAGACCAGAAGGGTACAGGCTACAAGCTCAGGCCTGGCCAGGACTCAGAGCCTCATAAACCATGGACTTGGAGCCAAAGGGCTAGAAGGGACCTGATTGTCAGCTCACAAGCACATTCTCCTTGACAGATTCCAGCCCTGTGGAGCCCCAGTGAGTGCTGGGAGACTGAGCTGGGCCTGGGCTCGGGCCAAGGGTCAGGAAGGATATTGGGCCCACATGGCCTCTGAATGTAGAACAGTGTTCGTGGGCTCCCAGGATCAGGGCAGCTAAGGGGACTCCCGGAGCCCTCCTGGCTCAAGGCTGCTGAGATAGAGACCCAGGCCAGGTGCAGAGAGCAAGGGCACGCGTGCACAGCCGGTAGCTCAGGGCCCAGCTGGCAAGACTCCTTGACACTCAGTGCCTCTCCGTCTAGAAAAGTACAGCTTCCTCCCACCTGGGCTAAATTCCAGCAAAACTGGCTTATTCCATTAGAGTGGTTAATTAGTCCTGACGGGTCTGGTCCCCTCCAGCGGTGTCCCAGGGAAAGGAAAGCAGTTGTCTGGAGAGGGAGACCAAAGTCTGGCTCCTCTTGGATACTCACGAAGCCCAGGGACTCTTCCCTGCTTGGGTCAGCCCTGGGAAGAACAGACAGACCCAGAAGCCAGCCAGCTCTGACCCAGGGAGCCCCAGGGTGGAGCTCTGCTCTACAGCTGGCACCGTGGCTCGCTTGGAGTAATCCTAATAATGGTTGGGTGGTTGTTGAGCGACACACATGGTCTTCTCCCCATTTCCCAGGGTTTCCTCCCATGTAAGACCATGTAAGTAAATGCAGCAGTGTGCCTGGCTCCGGTGAGTGTGACAGTGACAGGACGTGCCAAGTCAGATTATTACTGCTTCTACAAGGCAGTAGAAGTACAAGGCAAGGGACCCCTGCCTGACCTTCTTTGTGTATTCCCAGTGCTTAGCACAATCCTAGGCACTCAGAATACTTGGTTTATACTTGATGCATGGAATTAATGAGGCAGTGGGGTGAGGGTGGGAGAAGGTGGGAGCCCTCCCTGTCAGCATCTTGCTCTACTGGAGGGTGCACTGGATTGGGAGAAACCCAGTCTTTGACCCCAATTTTGCCCCCGCTTGGTTGACACTCAGATCGCTTGCAGCCCTTTGACTCCAACTCCGTGGTTTATGAGGCTCTGAGTTTCCCATCTCTGGGCCAGTTCTATTCTACGAGGAGGCTGGGCCACATATACACTAAGGTTTATATTCCGGTTACTGTCGCTATGAAACAAGTTACCCGAACTTCGTGGTATAAATCCACCAAGTGCTGTATTTTGCTCATGATTTTATGGGTCAGAAGTTAGGAAGGGCTGTCAGACAGTCCTGGCTTAGAGTTCTTCACACGGCTGCAGGCAGATGTCAGCCGGGGCTGCAGACGTCTGAAGCTCAGCTGGGCGGAATGTTCACCGTGGTGTGTGCATGTGGCTGGCAGTTAACGCTGGCTGCTGGCTGGGAGCTTGGCTGAAGCTGTCAGTGGTACACCTGCAAACACTCGGCCTCTCTGGCACAGGCTGGTCTCAGGGTAGTTGTACTCCTTAGATGGTGGCTGGGTTTCCCCAGAACTCCCAACGGAAG